CCCGCTGCTGTGGGTCCGATGAAGAGGAGGAGACCCGCTGCTGTGGGTCCGATGAAGAGGAGGAGACCCGCTGCTGTGGGTCCGATGAAGAGGAGGAGACCCGCTGCTGTGGGTCCGATGAAGAGGAGACCTGCTGCTGCTCAGAGTCCGATGAGGAGGAGTAACTGGAGCTGAGGAGGAGATGAACGAGCAAATATGTAAATCAAAAAGTCTTCATCATTCAAAAAAATAAAGTTTTTTATTAAATTATCATTTTTTTAAACAAAACTCAATGTGTAGAAAGTTTCTAATCTAAACTTATATAATCATGAAGAGATAAATTATTAACTCTGGATCAGAACAGTCTTCAACAGAATTTAAAGTTTTTTTTTTATATTTTAAATAAAATTTGCCTAATAAAAAACAAATGTTAAAGACGTCCCTGAAAGCAGATCAACACCTGACCCACTATGACCCAGAACCACAGGAGGATACACACAGGTCTGTCCAGCCCCAGCTCTGCAGGTCCTCCTCTTCATCATCATTCATAATACAGACATACACACATCCAACAACAACACACATACACACAAGTCAAGCAGCAGGTCAGATTCACCTTTAATCTGCTTACACTTCCTGGTCCTGTCATGGGTCATTGAGCTGATCAGACTCCGCCCACATAGATAAACACACCAACACGCGCACTGACACAATAACTTAATCCAAATTAACCAGATTCCCAGACTGACAGAGTCCTCAAGTTCTAATATTCTTTAATTGTGTTTGTTTCCTCCATAGATGGTCTCGAAAACGTCCATTTAAAAAACACGCAACAGCTTTGAGCCAATCAGCGTCGAGCTTACGTAAACGACATCCGAAACAACCAATAAGAATACAGAAGTGGGCGGACCCCCGCGAAAAACAAACTGGATGATGGCTACGCGAGGAAGCCGAGCATTAAAAACAAACAGAAACAAATCGACACAAATACTAAACAGACCCAAAAGAAGGTGTTCGTTAAATAAAGTAAAAACATTGATTCACCCGTGCCGCAGCGGAGCTCCCGAACCCGGTCTGACTCAGAACCGGTTGGTGATGGGACACACTCACGGACTGGTTCCCAGCTTTACATTAAACAAAAGCCAGCACTCGAAGCGATAAATCTCAATGGCAAACGCTTTCTCAATGAAACGTGTTAAAAATGTCCACTGACAACAAAGTTAAAGCGTTAGCTGCTTCGTGCTACTGTAAGTTGTTAGCAGTGAGCGGCGTTGTTTTTATAGCTTCGGTTTTATTATCGCCCCCGTGTGTCGGGAGATAAGAACTGCAGTCAGTGAAATCAAAGATCAGTACGGAACGTCAAGATAAGTACCACCGCAACCCGTAAAACATACACTTTGAAAAAATGCTTTGCCAAAAGACAAATATGTATTTAAATTGATATAATCTTTGAAATGTTTGATTTAGACAGGTTAGGGTGTAGCTATAACCTAGTTAGTGTAGTATAATCTACTACACGTTTTTGTCTCCCTGCGGACGAGCCAAAGATTAGCGGGACACGAAAACGGAAGTAGTTGGGAGTGAATTCAGCGGTGAACCGGATGTAGAATCGTTGTCATCGTTTTCTCGCCGACAACGTGTCCGCATGTGTTCAGTGGAATCGTAATAATCAGGTTTGAGTTGTTTATTTTTATTCTTTGTGATTAGTGGTGTTTGTTGTTCTGTAAAAGTCAGTCAGAACACCGTTGTTCATCAGTGACAAAATCTGTCGGATTTTACAGTAATAACGTGCTGTTTTCCACAGCAGCTCAGTCAAGTGAAAAAAAAAAAAAAAGAATGTTTCCATTTCTCTAATGAAAGTTTTTACATTTTGGTCTTAAAGGTTTTTAGCTTTTCTTGTTGTTAATGTGCTTCTTAATGATCTGTTTCTCTCAGATTATGTTAGGTACCAAGGCTAAAATGTCGATTTTGGACATACATTATGGTTGTAAAATTGCCAGAAAATATGCCCTAAGTTTTAGAGCTTTAATTCCTTTTCCCATGATTAGTTAAATTTCACTTTTTAACATTTAGTTAGTGATTATTGCACCTTATAATGAAATTTCATTTGTTTAAAAGAAGAAAAATACAAAAACGAAAAAAAAAATTCAAGGTTTATTGAGAAAAATATTCTGAATGTTAATGAAGTTTTGATTTGGTATTTGAAATGTGACCCAATGCATGTTTAGAATATTTACCAGTCATTTTTTGGGTCTAGGACACTGGGTGTACAAAATACAAAGCAAAAGGTAACTATAAACACAGGCGAAATTAGGCCAAATAATAATTCAAAGATTTAAAAAAACATGTACATTCTCAAATTACATTGATAATATTGTACATGAACTTTTGGTTTGACACTTGAAATATGAATTTTGAACATGAAAACAGTGCAAAAGAGAAATAAACGGCATTTTGAACATTCAAAAGACAAATATAAAAACTATACATGAAAAAATACAAATTCAAAACTATACAATACTAATAAACAAATTATTGCAATGCCTACATCAGCTGATATTTCAGCGTAGAACTGCTTGAAGCACTTACAATTTTCTACAGGAAAAATACACATAATACTACAAATGATAATTTTACACAAGGAACAACATATAAACCTGTCACTGGAGGACTCTCCACCAGAGGAAGAAACATGGAAATCAACAAATGAAAATCACTCCTTTCGTAGCAGAAAATACAATGGTTTTCATCACTGTATTATGTAGAAATAATAGGCGTGTCTGACATAATGAAACATACTCTCACAAATATTTATAATCAAAGTTTGGTAAAAAAAATAAAAAAATAAAATAAAAAAAACAACAAAACAAAACTAGCTTATGATAAAACAACATACCTCAAAAGAGGAATCTTCTACATCAGTGGTTCCCAAACTTTTTATCTTCTGACCCACAAAATATCCATGGCTTAAACTTGTGACCCCAAATATTACTGGTCTGAGTACACGAACTTCATTAATAACCCTGAAAACACAGGCTTTTTGACAAGATAAACAGCTTGTACACAAATATAAATACTTATTTACAGTTATTTTGTATTTTTGTAATATTTATAGAGAAAATATTACATCAGCAATTATTTTATTACCCTTTAAATTGATTTCTGGAGATTATCCAAGGTGCTTCATGACCCATAATTGGGTCCCAAGCCCAATTTTGGGAACCAAAGTGCAGTGGTTCCCAAACTTTTCAGCTTTTGACCCGCAAAATAACAGTAGCAGAGACCTGTGCCACCAGATATTTTTGGATGATAAACATTTGTATCAGGTCAACAAAACATGGGCATAGTAACTATATTTTTTATACCACATTTATCCATTATAAATATATACCTCACTCCTTTGTAACAACTAAGGCAAAAATGTAATTAATTCAGAAAATCTTTTCAGGACCCCACCTTGATGTTTCGGGACCCCACTTTGGGTCCCGACCCCAACTTTGGGAAACACTGTTCTACATCATGTTTCTCTGAACCGTAGCGGCCGTTTTATGGTCCTTGACGGGCTTTCAGCTCATATCAATGTGTCTTATAGAGCACTTAACCCACTCAAACACACTCAGGTGCACGCAGACACACACACAGACACAAACAGACACAAACAGAAACACGTGGGAAAACACTGAAAATCGCTAAAAAAATTCCAGTTTCCTGCTTGCCTTTTTCCTCTCTTCCTGTTCTCTCCCTCTCCTGTTGTTTGAAGGACAAGTCTTGCGATACTATTCCGAGTTACCGTAATACACCCCATACGTCACATATTGAAAGAAAGCACAGAGTCTCAGCTCTGTGACAGCGCTGGAATTTTTCAGATTTAGCGATCAGTCGTGGAGTTACGGTAACTTTCCCCAGACACAGCAGGGTTAAACTGAAGTTGTGTTAACAGGTGTGTTGTTTTGTTGACCTTCAGGTTTAATTTCGTCATGACGTCGTTGGCTCTTCAGCTGAAGAAGCTCGCTCTGCCTCAGAACGACCCAAATCTTCTGACTCGTAAGGATGTCGCCTCGCTGCTCTTTGACCCGAAAGATGCTGCGACCATGGACAGGAGCACCTTCTACGCCCTCGGTGAGCACGGAGCCGCACCAGAACCACGTCCCCATCCAGCTTCATGTTTCCAGTCTAACTGTGTCTTTCCTCCAGGCTGTACTGGGCTGGAGGAGCTGCTGGGAATCGAACCGGCCTTCCTGGAGTTCCAGGACACTCTGTTTAGCCCCGCCTCTTTGACCCTGGAGCGCAGCGTCCAGTCCAAAGAGGTCAACAGGAAGCTGGACGATGGCATCTCACTCTTCCTCACACGTCTCTGTCCGTACTTCCTCCTCAAACCGGCTCACAAATGCATCGAGTGGCTGGTTCACCGGTAAGCTGCACCGTATTACACCTGGATTACATCATACACACCTGGATTACATCATACACACCTGGATTACATCGGACACAACTGGATTACATCATACACACTTTGTCTCCATCATACACACCTGGTCTCCATCACACACACCTGCAGTACAACACACCTGGTCTCCATCACACACACCTGCAGTACAACACACCTGCAGTACAACACACCTTGTCTCCATCACACACACCTGCAGTACAACACACCTGCAGTACAACACACCTTGTCTCCATCACACACACCTGCAGTACAACACACCTGGTTTGATGTAACGATGATGTCGTGGTTGTCCTGCAGGTTCCACATCCAGCTGTACAACGCCGATAGCCTGATGGCGTGCGTTCTGCCGTATCATGACACCAACATGTTCGTCAGAGTCCTGCAGCTGCTGAAGATCAAAGACACCTCCAACCGCTGGAACTGGCTGCAGGGTCTGCAGGTCTGCCTCTCTGGTTCTGGTTCTGGTTCTGGGACATAAAGACTTTGTTTATGATGAGGTGTTGTTGTTGTTGTTTCAGAAACCGGGCGTGCCACTGTCCAGGTTAACTTTGATCACTCACTGCTACTCAGACCTGAGCTTCATGGACTTCATCTGCACCATGGTGACCCGGTCCATCCAGGTACCATTTCTGACTCTGTTCTGTGTGAGGGATCAGAACTCCTGTCAGTGCATGTTGAGCACCTTTACTGCACGACTGGTGGGTTTCTGCTTGTAGGTGGAAAACAAGTATTAGTATTTGCTAATAGAAGTAAACATTTAGAAATAAAGATTCAGCGTTTGCACTGTCGGGGCTGACTCAGCCTTCAAATCACCATGGCTGACTCAGCGTTTGGACTGTCAGTGCTGACTCAGCGTTTAAATCGCCGTGGCTGACTCAGCATTCAAATCACTGTGGCTGACTCAGCGTTCGAATCGTCAGGGCTGACTCAGCGTTTAGATTGTTGGGGCTGACTCAGCGTTCAGATTGTTGGGGCTGACTCAGCGATCGGACTGAGGGTGCTGACTCAGCATTCAAATCACTGTGGCTGACTCAGCGTTTGGATTGCTGGGGTCGACTCAGCGTCGGGAATGTCGGTGCTGACTCAGCGTTTAGATTGTTGGGGCTGACTCAGCGTTTAGATTGTTGGGGCTGACTCGGCGTTTAAATTGTTGGGGCTGACTCAGCGTTTAGATTGTTGGGGCTGACTCAGCGTTCAGACAGATGGGGCTGACTCAGCGTTCAGACAGATGGGGCTGGCTCTACGTTTGGACTAATGAGGCTGATATCTTGTAGAATCTGGTCCTCTCCAGAGTGACCCATTAAAGGAATAATATTTGTGTTTTTGTGTTTCTGAGGTTCTGACTCGTGTATTTGTTTATTTTCAGGCATACTCTGGACTCTCAGACACATTCTCTCAGCTCAGAGTCATCTTCTCCTTCTACGCCTCCACCATCGTCCCTGCTCTGGACGCCGTGGACAAAATTTCTGACTCCATCATCGCCAAGCTGCTGCCTTACATCCAGATGGTACCGGATCTTAGTCTGGATCAGATTACAGACTCTGGACCGGACACGTTTTAACGTTTTTAGATCCTGTGTTTTGGTTGATCTGTAGTGACGGTGGTCTCATGTAGGGGGCGCTCTTTCTCCTGGTCATCCTCTCATTAGTGGACCGGTTCTGTTTGGGTGTAAATCTGCTGTTTGGTTTACGGTTCTGATGGTCTCCCGTTCCCCTCAGGGTCTGAAGTCGCACCTGTCGGACTTCAAAGCCGCCTCCTACATGATCGTGTGCCAGCTGTCCGTGAAGGTGGTGATGGAGGCGAGTCTGGTGGACAGCCTCGCCGTGCTCGTCAGCAAGTCTCTGCACAAAGAACCGGTTCTGGCCCAGGAGGGTCTGGGCTGCCTGACAGTACTGCTGCAGAACCAGGAGGGCCGCGCTGGGCCCAGGTAGCGGCTCGGTTGTCCTGAGCGCGCTCGGTTCTGCATGGTCCGGTCTCACCTGTGTGTCGTTTCAGGGCGGTGGGCCGGCTGTGCTCCGTGCCGGCGCTGGTCCCCACGCTGCAGGTCCTGGCAGCGACCCACGACGTCGGTCCTATGCTGCGGTACCTGCTGCCCCACCTGGTCCAGAACCTGTTCGACAGCATCTCAGGTGAGACCTTGGACGTCAGGATCCAGAACCGGAGCTCAGATCAGAGCTTACCTGTCGCTCTCTGTCACAGGTGAGACGAACAGACTCGTTGCGTTGGAGTCCATCCTGAAATCTGTCCCGCTGACCAAAGACTTGGACCGGACTCTAGCCCGGTAAGTCTTCATCAAGAGTCTGGGTTGATCCTGAACGAGCACAGACTTCCAGAGACCGCTAGAATCCAGTTTTAGGTCCTCATAAGTCTACCTGCAGTTTTAAGTCCTCAAATAGTTTCACATCCTCAGATAACAAGTCCTGGACCAGTCTTTAGAGGACAAGTACAAGTCCAGCTTCAAGTCTTTATAGAACTAGTTTCAGTTTTTAGAAAACTAGATCAAGTCTTCATAAGTCCACTTAGGAGGACCAGTTTGTGACGACTTTAGTCCTCTGGTCTTGGTTTAGTCTTCAAAGAACTCAACTTTCAGTCCAGAAGGACTTGTCCAAAGTTTTGTCTCAGGTTCTTAAAGGACTAGTTTAAGACTAGTTTCAGTTCTCAGCGACTGGACCAAGTCCTGTCTTCAGGAAATCCAGTCTTCATAGAACTACTTTGACAAGTCTTCTGTTCTTGGGTCTGAGTCTGGTCTCGAAAGAACAGGTCCACCACTCTATCCAAGTCCTAGTGGACTTCAGGTCTTGGCTGTTCTCTTTATAGAACTAGTCTAGTCCCAGAGAACCAGACCATGTCTTTAGAGGACTTGAGGTAATCTGGATTTTTAAAGAACTCATCAGAGGCTAGTTTCAGGTCTTGGTCTTGAGTAATTCAGGACCAGTCTTTTTCCATAATGGTGGACTAGTCTGTGAGGATCAGGTCCACGTTAAGTCTTTAATGTAGAGGATCTGTAAGACCAAGTCTGCATTGGTCATAAAGCCTTGAATCTTTGAGGGTCTTTGGAAGTCCAGTCCTGGTTGAGTCTTAAGATTCAAGATCCAAGTCCTGACTGGAGTCTTTTTAGGTTCACGTGAACTGGTTCTGTTGGTCCTCCTGCAGGTTGCTGCTGGATCAGTATCTGAGTCAGACCCAACGTTCTTCTGAGGACTTGGTGACCCTGGACCAGAGTCTGCTGCCTGTGGTCCGGTTGTTTGAGTCCAGGTAGGACCACGTCCATACAGTTTTCAGATGGGACCTCAGAGACCTGGACACTCAGCTGTGAGTCTGCCCCCCTTCAGGTACTGTGGAGCTCTGGACGATGTCCTCTCTGGACATGTGACCGACCCGCAGCAGAAACGTCTCTTCCACCGGTTCCTGTCCTTGTCCACGAGTAGCGGGAAACATCAGGTGAAACAGGTTGTTCTAACGACTCAGCAGGTTTTCATGACGGGTCTGGATCTAACCCTGTCCCCATTGTACCGTCTCTCTGGTTCTGTTAGATTTTAGGCGACTCGGATACGTCTCTGCTCCTGAGTCTGAAACATCCACGGGCGTCGGTCCGAGCGTCGGCTGTGGAGCACCTGGTGGAACTGGTCTCCTCCGGACAGGTACCTGTGAAACCTCACCGGTCCTGGACCGGTTTTTATGTCCCTGTGGTGTTCCTCGGGGTTCAGTTCTGTTTGGTTCTGAGTCTTGTCTCCTGCAGCGACAGAGTTTGGATGAGACGTTCCTGAAGGACTCGGTCCTGGAGCGTCTGAAGGACGATGATCCTGAAGTGGTCGCGGTGACGCTCCGAGTTCTGCAGGTCAGTGAAGTAAACACGTTTGTTTCTTTCTGTCATCACGGTGTGTTCACTGTCGCTCGTTTTTTTTAGATGCTGCTGGACATGTTGGACCCGGAGGAGGTGGTGTTGTGTTTACTGTCTCTGCTGGACAGAGCTGAAACGTCCACGGCGGGGTCGTGGTCAGTGAAGTGAACCTCGGCTGTAGGTGGTGCCTTCGTGGACCTTCTGTAAATTTGAGTTCTGTCTCCTTCAGGTTGCCCGTGCAGGTGGAGGCGGTGCGTTTACTGTCCGATCCCCGGCTGGGAAAAGGCGACGCTGAGTTCGTGCAGAGGACGAGCTGGAAGCTGCTTCCCTTCCTGGTGATCGGCTCAGCTGAGCCGGGTCTCGCCGGCTGCGTGGCCCGGTGCTCCATCCTTGCCCAGAACCCCCTCACCCACAACTGGGCCCAGGGTACCAACTTCCTGTGAATCCTTCACAATAAAAGCTTCTTTTAAAATGAAGTAATTTTTTTGGACGAGTCGGTTTTTTGTTTCCTTGCAGAGCTGGATGAGGTAATGAAGAGGAGGTCCAAATCCGGGTTTGTTGGTTCTGCCAACCAGTGTCTGGTCTCCACGCTGAGCAGGAACCTGGGCCACATGGACCTGTTCTCCAGACAGGACGCCGTGAGTGACATCTTTATGGTCTGACAGCTGCTTCAGGTCCGGTTCGAGGTTTCCGTCTCAGTTTTTTGGGTTTTCTGTGTCTCAGCTGGAGAAACTGGTTCTGTTGGTGGAGCAGCAGTGGGGGTCCGGGCTCAGGAGGAGGGCCTCCTTCCTGGTTCTGACCCAGACTCTGCTTCTCGGTCTGAGGGAGCTGAGCGGGACCCAGCACCTGCTGACGGCTCAGAGGGTCTACACGGTCCTGGAGCCTAAACTGCTGGAGGTCAGCAGGACTGACGGCGCTCAGGTGGGTCTCACCAGAGGACCCCCCCCCCCCCCAGGGAGCCCAGGTGCATTGTGGGAAATGGAAGCTTTTGGTTATTTTCTCTCTGTGTGACATCACAGGAAGCTGGGCCTGTCTCTGTCTCCGCCTCTTTCTCTGAGGCCCTGACGGTCTACCTGAGCAGGTGTGAGCAGCAGCCAGGTGAGCGTTTGGACCAGGAGTTCAGCTCGGTTCTGATGGTCCTGCTCAGGGACTTCGTCTCGTCCCTCAGGTGTCCCGATGACTCGTTCAAAGGTGAATAAATAAACAACGTTTTAAAGACGGACAACAAAACAAGAATCTGGTGATGAAACTGACCTGTCCTTCACCTGTCTCACCTGTGTCTCACCTGTCCTTCACCTATGTCTCACCTGTGTCTCACCTGTCCTTCACCTGTGTCTCACCTGTCCTTCACCTATGTCTCACCTGTGTCTCACCTGTCCTTCACCTGTGTCTCACCTGTCCTTCACCTGTGTCTCACCTGTCTCACCTGTCCTTCACCTGTGTCTCACCTGTCCTTCACCTGTGTCTCACCTGTCCTTCACCTATGTCTCACCTGTGTCTCACCTGTCCTTCACCTGTGTCTCACCTGTCCTTCACCTGTGTCTCACCTGTGTCTCACCTGTCTCACCTGTGTCTCATCTGTCCTTCACCTGTGTCTCACCTGTCTCACCTGTGTCTCATCTGTCCTTCACCTATGTCTCACCTGTGTCTCACCTGTCCTTCACCTGTGTCTCACCTGTCTCACCTGTGTCTCACCTGTCCTTCACCTATGTCTCACCTGTCTCACCTGTCCTTCACCTGTGTCTCACCTGTCCTTCACCTGAGTCTCACCTGCCTTTCACCTGAGTCTCACCTGTCCTTCACCTATGTCTCACCTGTCTTTCACCTGAGTCTCACCTGTCTTTCACCTGAGTCTCACCTGTCCTTCACCTGTGTCTCACCTGTCTTTCACCTGTGTCTCACCTGTCGTTCCCCTGTGTCTCACCTGTCTTTCCCCTGTGTCTCACCTGTCTTTCACCTGAGTCTCACCTGCCTTTCACCTGAGTCTCACATGTCCTTCACCTGAGTCTCACCTGCCTTTCACCTGAGTCTCACCTGTCCTTCACCTATGTCTCACCTGTCTTTCACCTGAGTCTCACCTGTCTTTCACCTGAGTCTCACCTGTCCTTCACCTGT